ACCCCTTGAGCAAAATGTCCTAAGCCCCCCCTGACACATATTAAACAGTAACACTTATTTCACCTTGGCGATTCTTCTATTACTTTCTGGTTCCGTCTCTGAATTGAACATTCTCTTTCATTCACATACACCTATGTGTAACACTTAAAATTAGAAACTTCGATCCAAATATTCTGCACTGCTCCACAAACCAGATTCCCAAATGCTTAAAATTAAAAACAATTGGTCTAGTCTAGAGTCCATTTTATAATTGCCTGCTTGATTGCCAGGCCTTTGAACAGGAGTGAAGCTGAGGATGACCTTAATGATACAAGTCTCTATCACAACAAGATCACCTTCAGCCTCACTCTGAATCAAAGGCTTGGCAACTAAGTACACCACAGTAAAATGACCTAGAGGTTAATTGAAAGGAAATTTCTGTGCCAGTTAGGAATAATACACAGTCACACCAATTTGTTGATCTCCTGTTTGTGAGTTATCATGATAATGTTAAACATACGTTGCATAGAATGCTGATTATAAAGTACTTGGCAAAGGAGGGCTTGTGGTACTTATAAAATCAACATATATTTAAAAATTAAAGTAATTTTGGTTTCATCAACTGAGTTTATAATGTTAATTGGCAACAATAAAGAGTTTCAAAGCTGATGTTATAAATGTTAGCCCTCGGCAACTGAGAAGAATTTGCTACCTTTCCATAATATCAAGAAATGGATAGATATTCTAGTCTTCTCTGATAAGGACGAATAAACTGTAGGCCCACTCTCCTGTAGAGTTAGGGGAAGGAGACGTTAATTTCCCACGCACAAGATAACTGTGTGGTGGATGTCCTCCCCTGGGGTGTGATAGGTGGGTGTTTGTTCGAAGTAACTAGCACTACCATGCTAATCTGAAATTCGAATGGAAATAAAGTTATGTATGTATGTATGTATGTATGTATGTATGTATGTATGTATGTATGTATGTATGTATGTATGTATGTATGTATTAAGAGACTGTGTGCGTAGCACCAAGCAGCAATATTTTGTAAATCTGCGGTCAGAAGAGCAACGACGTTCTCTTAGTTCTTAACTTGGAAAGACAGGTACAGTTTCGAAGCATTTACATAGTATTCCAGGGAACACATGTTAGAAATGGTTGGGAGATCATTTATTTAGATGTTCAAAAGCGCCGGTCNGTGAAAGATAAAAATAGTATCTTCACTGCGTGCCGTGAAGATATGATTTTTTAGTAAAAGGAGAAATCCTGGTATTTCATCAGTATCTATATACTAATAAGATAATTATATTTACCAGCATTCTGTACCTGAATCTCAATGTGCCTTGGATTGTCAATAAACTTTTCCACTAATAAACGGTCATCTCCAAAACTGGATCTTGCCTCTTGGGAGGAAAGGCGGAACCCTTCTCTGTTCAAAAAAAAAAACAAAAGTATATGTATCTTATTAACCAAGCGTGAGGGCCATACTGGGAGAATATTGGCCTGAGGTCTTGACAGTATGGACTGAGCACAGCTCGGTCCGTACAAAAAAGATCGAGGGCCGATATTCTTCCAGTATGGTCCCGAGCAAGCTTGGTTAATAAGAGATTTAATATACGACTGAAGTTCAAAGGGACACAAGTGCGGTATCATTCTGGACCATTCGGGACAGTGCCCAGTCCAATACTGAGAGAATATTGACCGGCAATAGAGCATTTTGATTGGTTGATTTTAGTTATTAGCCCTCTGACTGCCCGAGTCATGTAATATATACTTCATATTATCTATTGATTATAATCACAGCTTTATTACATCCACTTTGAAATCACGGGTGATCCTTGTATCTGATTGGCTAAAATAGGAAAAAAATTATATTTCTTACTTTGTTTCCTCATCATTCCAAGCAATTCTCATTCCTTTGCCACCTCCACCGGCAGAAGCCTTTATCATGACCGGATAACCTAAAGATGGATGACAACCACAAGAAAGTGAAAAAAGGCCCACAACCAAACAAAAATGTAAACTTAACAAATAATCCTAGAGGTATACCTCTTAACAAGCTGATTAAAATTTAAAATCAAGTGTAACACGAGTCATGATTTTAAACCATCAACAGACCCCTGGGTTTCTTTAGAAGTAGCTTGTTTGAGTTAAAGATACCTTGAAATATTATGAAGCATTTTCCCAATGTTAGCTATAAGCCTTTCTGACACTACTCAAAAAGATCTGTGGCAACTAGAATTTGCATTTTCTATTTATTTCTTTTGTGGCATTCACTGTTTAGTATTTATCTACAAGATAAATATTTAGATTAGACATGTACCTTGATTAAAACACTTGAAAACCTAATCTGTAAAATAGCATCTAAACCCCATTCAGATAAGCTTCCCAAAGAATTTGTGTTCTGTGTTTGTTACGTACCTATCTCATTTGCTATTCTGACTGCATCTTCATCATTCTATAGAAAATACAAATGCAACCTCACAATGTTACAAATTCAAACTACTTCATTGTAATTTTGAGAAAGCCTGTCTGGATTGCCACACTGTCTTACTGACATTAAATGTGTTTCAATCTGTGATAAATATCCATGGATTATAATTATTATATTAATTGACCCTTAAAAACCTTAGGTCAGAGTAAATACGATATCATTTCTCCCACAGCATCAACTCTAAATCAGACATTAACAGAGATGCCAACCTGTTAAGATCTAAAATCTGAAGATTTTTCTATAATGCCACCACAGCATCAACTTAGCAACACCCTCCCCCCCCTCCACCCCAACTAAAAATTTGATACCCCTGGCAGCTTCCGTTTAGTTTCTGTCAAGATGTGGTTGCATAAAAAATGTCTTGATTTGAGTAAATCTAGGGATGTTAGTCTACAGTGGAGTAAGGCCTTTGCCACTTTTATTCAGATGATTTGGTGACCTACACCATATACTGGAGACTGGAAGACTTGTTCAATATCTGGTAGATTGGCATGTATGCATTAACGGTAAAAGGAGTAAAGGAAATGATCCCCAACTTGAAGAGCTTGATCATTTACCAAATTCTCCTTGTCAGTGCCATGGGAAATTTATAAAGAACAATAAGGAGAAGGTGCAAATTGATCGGTATAGGGGGTTCATTAGGAGGAACATGGTCTTACCTTTACAACTCCTTCAAACCCAGGAATAATGCTAACTCCAGCCTTCTTGCCGATCAGTTTACTTTGAATCTTATCTCCCATGGCTTGTATTGCCGCGGCATTTGGTCCTATGAAGGTGACACCAGCTTTTTCCTAAAGGTTACATTCAAATCATCCTTTCAAATTTTAAACTTTAATACTTGAATGAAATGAAAATTGGGTAACATGCGACATGTTCAAAGAATTATCATCAATACACAGTCCAAAGTAAACTTAATATATGGAAAAACTAAATGCTTGACTTGTTTATTTTTGTTTAAATCATAAGCTGGGGAAAGCTATATGTACTACACAAATTTATCAAACAGACAATAAATTTATGCGTATGATGCACGATCATACACATATATGAACTTCATATATCCATTGAACCCAAATAAATTTATGATAATTGATATTCCAATCCAACAGATATTTTTTGCTCATGAAATACAGTTAGTCTAAATGCATCATGTGACCAAATATGCCCTGCTAAAACTGGAGGATATCTGAGGATATGACCCTGTTTTCAAACCTTATATCAAAGATAGAAAACTCCACACTTAAAGTCTACATGGCTAGTGTTCCAAGGGTTAAGTTAAGCTTACCAGCATTGCAACAAACTTGTCATTTTCTGATAGAAAACCATACCCAGGATGAACCTGCAAGCATTAAAAAATCCTGCATTCAAACAATTTTGATAGTAAGAGTGATTCTCATTACCTGGTAGGTTTATTAATACCAAAAAAGTTTAATCTAACTGCTAAGTGAGCTGTTCCCTCTGGTTTCA